AAATATGACATCATTTTCTATTATGTTGTCTGTTTGTTATCCACACACAGGCTGCAGAGTATAATATCTTTGAGGGTTTGGAGTGTCACGGAGGTCCAGCGCTGGTGTTAAGTCAAGGTAAAGTGGTGTACAAAGACGGCAAGCTGGAAGCTGAACAGGGCACCGGTCGTTTTATTCCACGCAAGGCCTTTCCTGACTTTGCTTATCAGCGTCTGAAGTTCAGGAACCAGGTAAAGAACAGGCAGCGGAATTTTCTGAAACAAAAACGGGACATTTAAAAATAGATCCTCTCAGGACGACTGAAAAGACAAACAGCTACAGTCTGTAGCTGGAAAGGAACGTGGACGTTACAGGACAAATGACTTTAGCTAAACTAACTGTCTATTTATTAAACAAAGTATTAGGTACGTGACTGCAGCCAGCAGAGTAGGGAATTGTTTTAAATATCAGTACTTCACAATTCCATGGGGTTCCTGAATGCATCATTTAGGTCTTTTATTCATTCAATGGCAGATGAAGCAGGGAGTCACTCGTGGGATGTACGACGGCCCTGTGTGCGAAGTGGCTGACATCCCCAAATACATCACTCCTTCTCCATCAGCCAAAACCTCCCCCGCCACTAACCAACCCCCAGCAATACGCAATCTACACCAGTCCAACTTCAGCCTGTCAGGTAAAGAAAACAACCGAACTTTTACCCGGTCAAATCAACCTAACACCTGTATGATATCAATGAAAGGTGTGATTTATATTTTTTCTTTATCCAGGCGCACAGACAGATGACAATGTACCACGTCGGTCTAGTCACCGCATGATGGCACCCCCTGGTGGTCGCTCCAACATCACCAGCCTTGGTTGAATGTTGTGTATTGTAGGGATGAGTGTCTGACCAACACGAATGGTTTCCCTGTGTTTATGTGACAGTGTTTTGATCCTCTTAGGTTTTGTGATATTTTCCCACAGAAAAGTATGTTTAATCTATAAAATATATAAGAGCGAGAGATACAATCAGATTTATGAGAGAGAGAGAGAGATAGAGAGAGAGAGAGACTCCTGGTCACACACTCACCTTCCACAGAGCACGACTTAACAAGATAACATGTCTTACCATATACAGTAGGTCTGATCAGATATGGTGCTCCTTTCTACATGTCATAATGAACAGCTGAACAAAATAACAGACCATCAGTGCATCTGTTTTTTTTTAACATCTTTGTATTATTCGTTAAGTCGTATCTGCATGGATTCATCGTACGATTTTGCACTAGGTGTTATAATAATCGAACACTGAAAATGTACTCAAGGCACATTTAGAGCCAACAGCACAAACAGCGTATATAGTGTGTGTGTGTAATTGTGTCAAATTTCTGCTTGGAAAAAAAAGTGTTTTTGGAGATTCGGCATCTCGTCAAACCTTTACTTTTCCTTTATTTATGCAAAACGCTTCTGCTGAGTGGTAGTTGCAGTAGGTAAGTTATTAAGGCAAACACAAAACCAATTAACTGATATTGATTGGCTGATATCAGCTGCTCCGCTCACTGCTGTTTTAAAGGCTGCAGCATCGAACACTGTAGACGTCACTTTTGAAGGACTTTCTTTTATGATGTTAATTCTGATGTCGTTTGACTTTGATGTGAGTGTTTTAGTACCTGTAGTGTTTCTGTGCTCCTGCTTTTGTCGCTGTTTAGTGTCCCTCAGTGGAGAAATAAATGACCAATAAAGACTGTTGCAATTTCAGAATTTCATTTGATTTATTTCATCCTTCACAACCTGAACCTGAACCTTGGAAGCATTTTTGTTGTATTGTCCCCAATGAAATACTTTTTTTTGTTTGAGGCCTAAAGGAGAAAGAGGTAAAAATTGATTGTGCTAAAAAAAAAACCCCAATTGGTCTACATTTAATTTGTCAAAATTGGAATTAAAATTCCATTAATTTTTTTCATCTGATCTTGCAGTTGATAGAAATAAAGTTAGCCTTGTGGCTATTGACATGTATATTAATGAGACAGAATAGGTTGTCAATATTGTAGTCTGTAAATGTTAATGTCAAACAGGCTTCTCTTGGGAAGCAAAGATAATAAAAAAAACCCCAAAAGCTAAAAAACTGTCATGTTGTGAATCATTTTGTGAATAAGGTTATTTTGTCAAATTAATGAAATTTAAACCAATACTTAGGCAGATGGGAGGCAGCTGTTGTCAGGAACCAACACAGAATTAGCAACAATTAGCCGTACTAGTTTTCAATAAATCTGAATCACTAGAGACCCCCCTCCAACCCCCCCCTTTTCTTCCACTATCTCAGCATAAGCTCAAAGACCCACAACAAAACAATTTACCATTCAGGAAGCTACTGTGTTGTAACAACAACACCACAACAGTATATCAAGGTTCAATGTATTCTTTCATTAGTGTTACATTTAATTTATAACTTTAATCAACATTGCCCCCCCCCCCACTAATGCTCTAAGAACTTTCCCAATGTTACACTTGAGAATGTGCTGCAGTCACTCCAGACTCCCTCCATTATCCGCTTCATTGATCTGGTGGCTTTATCAGCAGGATTATACAGCATCGTACTGAAACAAAATGGCAGCACGAGGCTCTAAACAAGGTTAACATTGCTGCGCTGCTAACAAATTAACTTTAAGAAGTAACATAATGTACATTCTACTATAGTTAGTTTGTATCGTCCAATTTTCAACAGCTGCAGCACTGGGTTTTCCTCCATGATTGATTTACCTTATTTTATTTTATGCACGTTGCCAAAATAAAACAAAACACTGCATTAAAAACATAAATCTCATATTCCTGCTACTGCCATAACAGGACCACAGAGGTTACAATCACATACCATTCTCAGCTATTTTTATTTTCACTGTAGCACGTTAAATTTAGTTTAATTACTAACAGAGTGACTGAGGTTGTGTTTTAACTCAGGGTCACAGGGTCAGTCAGGAACAGAAACAGAACTTAAGGAAGAACAGAAGTAGGAAAAAAAAATGACTGGTGGAAACAGACCTGGAGTTCAGGAACACAGGAACCACAACAGGAAACACAAGGACCAGGTGAGGGACAGAGGTATTTATACCCAACACACCAGGTGAGGCTGATGAAACTAATGAACCCAGGAGAGACAGACAGAGCTGACAACTGATCCTCAGTCAGTAACACAAATAAAAAATATACTGAAGTGTAATAGAGAATACTAAATCATTGATAAGAACTGTGCAGTAGTGAAACACTGGAATACATTTTTTGTTTCAAACTTTAAACTACATCTGTTGTCTTAAAATCGGTGTACGTGATTTTCAAGGCCAAAACATAAAGCTTTCAAAAAAGATTCTTCTGGAATAAAAGACTGTTGCGGTGCTTTATGCATGTGCATGTTATTAAGGGCAAAACTGCCAAGAGCAGCAGTTCACTGAAGGTCAGGGTTATCGTTTCATGAAAAGATGAAGAGCCATAAATGAGAATCAGTGGAGGGAAGCTGGAGGAAAGCAGGGAGGATCAAGTGTTATATCAGGCGCCTGACATATCAGCCAGGAGGAAATGTTTACAGCACTGCTGCCAGCCTTCCCTGAATCGAGGAACACTGCACTATGACAGAATTGATCACATCTGCAATGCTTTATGGCCAGCGTTTCTGCTGCTGTGTGGCTCTTTAGCCGTGCGAGGACTGCAGCGCTCAGCTGCAGATGTCAACTAACTGGCATTTAATAATGATAACGCTCTTTGTTCGGCTCATTTTGAAGCTGTGAGCCCAAGGTTTACTGTCTTCACATGCTACAGCAGCTCAAAGCTATTTCACGGCATTTTTTTTTCTTCTTGAAAAAGAATAATCTTCTTCTACAGCCCGTGACAACATCAGACGCCCATCCGTTTGACAGTGTGAGGTTATCGTGCTCGGGGTTTCCTTCAGAATAATGAAGTGCAGATCTGGTTTGTCAGTCCCTGGAATTCAAGGACCACTTCACAGATACTGCAAATTCCAACCCTGAACAAATGTCAGATTGTGAAAAATCAAGAGAATGAAAATTTTAATGAAGCACCATTTCAGTGTTTAATTAGTAAAAGGGAGTAAAGCTAAATTTTGGAATACCCCCAATATGGTGTATTTCATCGGATAGTCCCCCCAAAAACTACTTCTCTTATCAAATCTCTCACTTGATCAACAGATATCTTTGATGAAGTTTAACATAGTAGCAAATTACGTTGTAAAACGACAAACTATTTAGAGGCTACAACATGCCAACTTTGTGATTTAGTATGCATATTTATGATTTGTAAAGTTGCTGTTCATTTTGAGGCTTGTATTAGTTGTTATATCACATTGTGTGTACACATATTTTTTTCACGGTTTAATTTCAGCCTTGAACTATGAAATAAAGCTCACCATCACGTAACAGAACTGCTTGAGGAAAGCCAAATGTCGTACCGACATAGACCACAAGGTGTCACTGTTGGATGGAACATATAAAGAAACGGAGACTGCGGGATTTTTTTTTTAGTCATTTTAAGTCCCTCACACTAATCTTTGCAACATTTAACACCTTTGAGGGAATTTTCCGATAACTCTAAGTCCAAATTGCTGTGTTCAGTTTAAAACCCTTTTTTTTCAGGAGGGTTGGGTATGAAAATTCACTCCGCCGAGATAAAGAAGATGGATGGTGTCACATTTTAATGAAGTTATGAGGTTTTAAAAAAAAACCTCAGTGTGGCTTTCAGACAGAAATAAATTGAAATTGTACACTAAAACTGGGATAACGAGGTGTCATTCTGCCGAGTGAAGGTATATGGTTGTGATGTTTGGAACGGAGACATGGGAGCACTGACGCTAAATGCTAACAAAGCCATCCTAGGTGTTTTCTGGAACTTTCTATACCATATTACTGTATCAGAAGGTTGTTTGTAGGTCTAAGTACACCTGCACAGACTCATCACCAACAACCGGTTTACCGTCTGTAGCTGTAACTGACACAAGCGCTATTTAAAATGTCATTTAATGTCATTACTTCTGCAGCAGTTTTTGATTAAAAAGATTAAATATGTAGGCCACATTCTAGAAGAACAGTCATCGACAATCCTTCACACGTCTGACTAGCTTTTAGTCTGAGCCCAAATGATCGACTCTCTCCCCCGTACTTAGCCGTAACCCCCTGAAAACCTCTAATGACAGGTTATTCAGTCCTTTGATAACTCTCTTCCAGTATAAATCTGTAATCCTCTCTTTCTCATCTTCAAAAAAACTCCTTAAAATCCATCTGTTCTTCAAAGCTTAAAATAACCAGAGTAATTATCCGGTGTTTTCTGTCTCAGTTCTGTCTGTACGCTCCCATTTTTCTTTCTTTCTCCCCTTCTATTCTCTGTCAAGTGGTGATGAGTACCTTCCAAGGTAAGGAGATATAATGCTAGCTTATATATTATGTAAATATTCATTATAATAATTAGTACTACTGCTGCTGCTTATAATACTTTAAAAAGAAAGCAGATGATAATAATTATACTCTATGCTGTCCATTTAAATAGAATTCAGTGAAAATGTAACGTTCTAGCAGAGGATAAAGAGCCACGGGCAAAAGTTTGAAAGTCACCTGCAATCACATCTTAATGGACATTTAATAGAGTTATTATCTATTGTGGCAGGTGCTGATAATGTTATTCAGATGTTAATGGGAGTGGGTCCAGGTGCCATAATCTTTATCATTCCACGTAAAAATGGCCAGGATTCCAATTAATGGGATTTCCCCCACGAGTTCAAGTGTGCCTTTCATCCTGATGGAGAGTAAAATGATGTAAGAGTGAAAAGACACCAGTTATATTTCATCAACATGATGTGACTTTTAAAACCCTCAAAAAACCATATTCTCTCTGTTGCCGCAGTTTTTTTTGTGTCATTTTAAACAGCGTGGAACGTTGTCTTCAAAGTCAAAGATAAATAATAAATCAATAAACAAACAGAAATGTTTGAAGTTTTTAATGTCAAACTTTTACATGATTCATCTTCATACCAAACCATTCGCCGACAGCTCCTCTTGTTCCTTGTCATAGCAAATGCAATTAGTTCATTATTTAATTAAAGCGAGGGACCAGCGAAAACAAGCTAGCCCCACAAGAGGACAAAGGAGGACAAAATAATCATTAAAAAAAAGAAGTATTTTTTAAGTGCAGATTCAAAGATTTTAAGCATGCCATTGTCTGTTATGGATTCCAGTTGTATGTTCTACAGTGTAGTTTTTCTCTGTACACGGCTATAAGGATAACAGCACAAGGGGAAAGACAGGTACCGGATGTCTGCTGAAGCGTCTTGTTTTACAAATGTCTCTCAAACACTCCACTCTGTCTGACTGCCCTCTGTTTCCCCCGATATATTAAAACATATTCATGTTTAAACGTGCAGTATAAAAAAAAGATACACACCCACACAGATTCATTTACAGTAAGTTCTCCTAAATCCAGACTGTTGTGTTTAAGAGACGCCATAATGGAACTGACATAAAACAGCAGCTTGAAGAAGGCTTAGTCTCTGCCCACATCTCACAAATGGACGTAAGTTCATCAAAAAGGTGTCAGGGAGGTTGATCGGAGAAAACGCACCAGTCTGAGTGAATGCATCCGACAGGAAGCTGTGATTGTTTTCACCATTGTACTGTCGGCAGTTCATCGTTAACAGAGTTCAGAAAACAGCCATGTTGAGTCAGACCTAACAGAGGCTCAAAGTTCATCAGAGACCCCGACAGTGTGAAGTCGATGGTATGTACAGGTACAGGAAGTGAAATCACAAGTGTTCAGTTCAACCTTCAGTCAGGCTACTGAAAAAAAAATCATTGACGGTTCCGACTACTGTTTCCACACAGGAGGGAGGGGCAGCTGAGCATCAACAGTGTGCGGCCGAAGCCACGAGTTCTTACATGGTTCAACAATGTTGTGCATCTTACCTGAGTGATTTTCTGACTCAGAGCTTCTACAGAAATCTACAACTTCATCTCCCTTAGATCCTTAACCAACCCCAGTGTCCTCGTGGGTTCCAGCACGCCCAGACAAAATGAAGAGCCGCACTTACTATTATTTTCCAGCTGTGTAACATTTGTCAGTGCAAACATTAATGAGATCTGTGCGGATCAAGAGGCGGGGGCCTAACCTCATTATCCCTAAGAACCACACACTGATGATGAGAATTAAGATGTCGTGGCCCTGATACACATCCAGCCTTTACCTCAGTGCAGCAGTGGCTTCCTGTGGTAGCTGCTGTGAGGACAAATATAACAGTTTGTTATGTGCACGTTCGGCACAACCGTACGGGTTGGTTAGGGTCAGCGCTGTGTGGTGAGAAAGGTCGCAGTGCAGAGCACTTTGACTACTTTGTGTTGTTTTCCCCGGCCTGCAGCCTGAAGCGGCCTCTGAGCCAACTCCTGGGTGTGAAAACGAAGAGATCGGCCCAAACTCGTCCTCTAATAAAGAAGCAAGAGTTTAATCCGCTGACACTCCCTCTCTGTGGAAATGATTCCAACTTTTTCCTCCCGTGAGCACATACTGTACATGTAATACTGATGTATCAAAAAAGGCGTAGGGTTTTTAAAAAAGGTGAAGTTATAAAAGAGGGAAAATAGTTAAGCTTTCCTTTCTTTCATGCAATCTTTTCGTCAGTGTTTTTTTCTTACGGAAACTACAGTAGTTTGGTTTGTCTATGCGTCCTACCTACAGTATGCAGAATATCTCATATTCCAACAATGTTTCTCTTTACATACAGAAGGTCTGACTGAACCCCCACCCCTCCTTCGATGGAGACCTTGACATCAGTCGGAGAGACGGTTAATTATTTAAATACATTTCACGTGTAAATGGTGTCTGGAGAGAAGCAGGCAAATGCTACAACTACAGTAGTTCAATGAGAGGCGAATGGAAAAAAACAAAACTAAACATGAATGAGTCATGCACACACACAGAGAGTGTGTTGCACACATCCTAATACGAGTTGTGTTTTAATACGCTGCATGTGTGAGCGTGTGTTTGCGCATACTGTGTGGCGGCACACGTAGTATTTTCTGTATAAAACCCTAATACAAGTTAAAATACACTTTATGTTACACTGCCACTGGGTCTTGCTGTAAGATCTGTGGCCTGATGCATGTTCACATTCGGCAGATGCACTGTTTGTATTTATGCTAATGTGTTTGTGCGCGCACGCGGGTGTAAGTGCGTGCATGCTTGCGTTTGTAAATGTGTGTGCGTGTGTGTGTGTGTGTGTGTAGGTGTCTGAAAGAACAGATTGATACATGAACAGTGTGAGGACACTGGAGGTGCGTCATGAACCCAGCACCTCAGTCTACTGTGAAGTGCACGGCAGCAGCAGAGAGAAAATACTGCCTGGTTATCCAATACACACATACAATATATACAGTACACACCGGGCGTGATGGTAAAACAGATTCTCACATGAGCCAGAGGAACTGTGGCACCACTGACGGTGAGTGAGTCCTGGATTAATTACATTTGACTGTATAAAAAGTCAAATTTTTTACTATCTGAACTTTTTTTTTTTTAAATACAAATACCTGATTTATGAGATCAGCACTTTTTCTCTGTTGTGTAACTGTACAGTGAGCAGACGTTTGCTTGCTAAGGTTAAGTAGATCAAATGGCTAACGTTGTCATTCATTTTCATTGGGGGATACAATAAATTGAGCTATCAGGGGGTTTGATTTATATAAATAGTAACCTTAAAACTAAGTTAGAGACCCATTAGCTCCGTCTATGTATTTTTCACTGCTTAACAACTCAGTGGATCTTCAGAATGTCTTTTATCAGTTGAGTTCAATACTGTTTTGCCTTTTGCCTCAGAGAAGGTTTGTGTATGCGCCGAGGCATTGACAGCACCAGGATGTTCTCAGTTTTAATCTCCCTCTCCTTCACACAGATCCCTCAGCGGCCGAGGGTCAGGCATGCATTAGATTCAGGTCAAAAGAGGAGATGGAGCTGTCCTCCTCCACAAGGGCTCATAGGATTGTTGCCTGCAGGCAACCCTTTCTTGTAGATGAAGAAAAGAAAGAAAGTGCGAAAAACTAACTTTGTTTTTTCTTTTTTAAGTGTTTGTAATCAGAGCTGAAGAATTGAGCATCACTCCCTCCAATTTAAGTGCCCATAAATATTAGTGAGATTCAAAAAGTTCAAATTTGATGCACAGACTTTAGAAAATATCTTCTAGACATTACTACATATTCACATGTACTATAAGGCCTTCCAATCGATGATTTGCCAGTGCAGTTCTAACACTTCCTCTCTCGCAGAAGTGGACGTTGTGCTCCATTGCAGGGCTGTCACAGGTACACCTCGCGGCGTGACAGTGTGAGACAGGAAGTGGTCTTGTAGTCTCCTCCTGTCCGAGTTAGTGGTATGACCTCAGGTGGATTCTGGCCCTCTCCTCCCTCTTCGTCTTGCTGGCGTCGCCCAAAGCCTGCGCTGCTAAAAGTGTCATAGGAAGCTGAAGTCATCTTGCGGTTCAGAAGGTTACGGTTGTGATCACCTATGTTTCTGTTACGGTCTCCCCTACCCAGAGTGCCGAGTGGGTCCCCGTTGACCAAGGGAATTCTTTGACCTTCGCCACTAACCACACCGGGCTCTGAGCTCCCTGCACTTCCGGCGCTCTCGCTGTCACTCTCATGGTCGTTACCACGAAGGTTGTTGTTATCGTCTCCTGAGGTAAAGGTGGACAGCCGAGGGGGGTCGCTGCCATGGCGCTGACGGTGGCGAGGTGAGGGGCGGATGGGCATCCAACAAGTGTCGGAGTGGCCAAATTCATCACACTCTCTGGTACACTTCCCTGTCAGAGCTACGTCTGGCAGCTGTCTGGCATCTGGACGTAGGGAAAAAAACGTGAAAAAAAAAGTTAAAAAAATGAAACAAACTCTTAAGGTGTGACATATACATCCATAGGTGTTTTATGCCCATGCAGCATATGTTTCAAGAACATCTAAATTAAATGAAATGATTAAAAACAGGTCAAAGTTGTAGGAGATAAATGTGTAAATATATACAGGAGACATAGGTTATGAGGCGGGGGACAGCATCTAATCCAAGAAAAATGCTGTTAAAGCAAAAAATTACTTTGCTGACTTGAGGGGATTCAAACAATATCCCAGCTGCGCTCAGTGTTATATGAAAGGTGAAAGGTGAGGTCGAACTCCAGAGACATGAGATAATTGTCAGAAATGTAAATGATGGATATTCATTTCTTCGTGTGCAAAGTAAACAGTAAGTTATGTATTGGCTCAATAGCGTCCCACGGGTGTTGGTTCAAAAGGTCAGTGAGGCACCAGAGGCTGCAGAGGCAGAGAACAGACATACAACACGGTAGACTGTCAAAGGTTAAGCTAATTATCGGAGTAAACCAGTCATTTAAGAATCAATACAGGCAACAAGTTGGATAGAGACGGAGGCTGTAAAGATGACGGATGAGCTGAAAAAGAAAATAAAATAAAAGAAGGAAATACTACGATGCTCAGCACATTTAACTAAAACAACACAGATGCTGACATTTAGTTCTGTTCTTGAAATTTGAATTAAAGGACACCCTTACAAATAACCCCAACAGTAGAATCAATTCAAGTTAATCTCCTTTGTCAGTTTTATAGCCACCGAATGTTTCTGGTTCCCGTCTCTTTTCTCATTTTGTACTTTTCTGCAGTTTAAATAGTTAAAAGAAGCGACAAGATTTAACAGTGTCATATATGAAACTTTAAAGATTCAGATCTGAAAATTGGGCTTGGACTAGCCCAGATACTAATGAAAACATGCGGCTAAATGCTACGTGCTATTGCACCACTAACATGCTTTTATAAGCCACATACTAGCTACACTTGTGTCCTAAATGGTTTGTATTTCTTTTATTCGGAGGACAGTCATCACACTAAATACTGTTGAACAGGGCTTTCAAATCCATACTTAGCACCACCTACAGGCCAGGGAACACGCTGACAGCAATACTGCTACAATAAATCAACAAATGTATCTCTCAACATTTTTTTTATGTGCATCGGACCATGAAAGAGCTCTGCAGTGTCCTCCGTATTTCAAATATTAGTCAAAAGGTAGTATTTAAGTGGAAGCCAATAGAGAAATACTGCCATCCTCCAAGGTCTGAGTGACCTTGGTTTGTGGGCACTTTTGTTCCCGCATGAATTTGACCATAAATACAGGGATGAAAAAAAATCCTTGACAGACTCCCATCATAAAAAAAACACAAAATAAAACACAATATCGTCAGTAAAAGGAATATTTAAGCGGCTGACTGACAACTGCAAGGCCACGGAAATGTTTTTTCCACGAAAAAGGACTGAGCATTTGATTTTCACGCAGCACACACAAGGTCCAGGGGTTATAACAGGCAAACAAATACAAGAAAGTTGTTTTTTTCCCCCTGAAAAACACATTGAAAAAAGAAATGACTTCTTACCCTCCTACCCTCACTACGAGTCACCTTTTTATGACCCGCGTGTGTGTGAGTTTTGAGATAGAATGAGACACAAAGAGAGAGTTTCTAAAACACTGTGTGGGTGTTTGTATAAAAATATTATAATTTTTATATCTTCAATCATTGTTGTCCCAACAACATCTCAGCACATTAGACTGGCTTTAATCAGATAACAGTCATTCATTTTGACATTTGGAAAGAGGTCTTAGTCAACATACAGCAGTCATGTGACCTCTGACTGGGAGAGCAGTAGATGCAATAGATGTGTCATGTTGATGCTGTAAAGTAGGGCAGTAGAAATCCTTCAGCTGAGACAATGTTTCAGAGTGGGAATGCTGCTTACTTCTCAGAAATAAAAAGAAAAAAGTAAAATCTAAAGCTCTGCTTCGAGTAAGTTATCTTTTTGATTAGTTTAAGGGTTCTAAGAACTGACAAGGTTGAAGTTAGGTGAAGGATAAAGCACAGGTCAAATAAATGTATTAATTTTCATATATCTTTGAATGCCTAATCTCCTTCAGAGGTGGGAGGGGGTTTGGTACAACCTGGACAGTCCGCCAGTGAGTGTCCAATTAAACTAATCCTAGAAGTTTCTAGACTGTGGGAGGAAACTGAAGTACCCTGAGGAAACTCACAGGGGGAGAACATGCAAACTAATTCAAATAGAGAAAGATCGTAAGTTCTCACGGGGGATTTAACCAGCGATCTTCCTGCTCCAAGGCAGGAGCACTAACACTCTTTTTAGAGTGTTAGTTAACTGTTAACTGTTAACTGTTAGTAAATTCCTCTAATGCTGTGAAATGATATAACACGCCAAACCTTCCTGGTGTGTGTATGTGATTTGTGTGTGTGTGTGTGGTTCCACTGACCGTTCTCAACGTGCTCCTCCTCCCCTACACTCCCCTCTGGCGTCGTCCGCTCGTAGCCCTCTTCGGGCAGTGGCAGGGCTCCCAGCCGTGGCCCCGTTGAACTCTTGCTGCTCGGCGTCTCTGAATCCTCCAGGCCACTGTCATAGCAACCGCCATCCTGAGGCTGGCTGACGATGGAGAAGGTCACCCGTCGGAGGGTCCCCTACAGGAGACGCGCACAGACAATATGGGATTAATAATTGGGGATTCCTAATCTGATCTCTTCTAAATCCGAGGATTAGGCGAACGGTCAGAAGTCTGCGTAGACATATTCAGATGATCTCAACAGTTTCATCCTGATTACAGGCTTAGCTGCTACAAGGCTGGGTAATAGTCATCAACCAATCACGGCGGTCTCTTAAAGTTTTCATTCGTTTTTTAATCCTAGTTGAAATTAAATGTGGTGGACATGACTGATGTTTTAAAACCCTTATCCGAAAACACTTCAATTCCATCTGGAATAGTTCCAGTAGTGGTAACATCTGGTCCCGTCTCCCGGACACTCACTGTACGTGCAACTCTAATGAGAGATAAAGGGCTTAAAACAATAACTGAAGGGACAGTTTAAATGTTTATCTCCGACAAAACCCATGGAAAAATTACACCCAGCTGCCGGATGTACTTTTCTGATTAGACGTCTTGTTGGTAAAATAACTCTTTATTAACGTAGCCTCCAACCTACGGCGGCACAAATCCACACTGTTGTCAATTAAACAAGCAGCCAGCGACACCAGCGTACTCCGTGACATAGTCATCCTAAATAAATAGCACGGCCACAGCAGTTAATTTTAGCACAGTCTCTCCTACGCTGTCGTCCTCTCTGTGCAGGAGGTGTAAAAAAAAAAAAAAGCTCATTAGTTTGTACAATAAATATATTAATAACTCGCTGCTCCCCGGGTGGAAAATGTCTCCAACCTGAAGAAGTTTCACTATTGTCTTAGTCAGAGACAAAAACAAAATGAACAAAAATGGTGAAAATAGTAATGTTATTTCTGTATAAATATAAAATACCTTCTTATGAACTGATGATTTGGAATCATGAGGTCTGAAAAGCCTCACACATAACGTAAACAAATGTTTTCTACATTTATGACCAGGTTTATCTTCTTCACAGTCCACATTTTTTCCATATCCATTTATACACAGAAATTATAGGGATTTAAAACCAGACCTGCTTTAAAACACACAGCTCTAGAGCATAGGGCAGTGGTGTCAAACTTCTGGCCGGGGGGCCACTTTCGGCTCAAAACCCTCCACATATCCACTCCCTGACTAAATGTCAAGTGTTTTTTGGATTAAACATGGATACTGATGTTGATGATAGCAGCAGTTGCCCTCAGGTCATTTGACTTTAAGTGCCCTGGTAAAGAGTCAGTGTAGAGTAACTTCAGCTCAGAACAATGCCTCTGGATAATCTAGAGGGAGTGGTGGTGGTGGTGGGGGGGGGTTACTGATGGACAGCTGGGAAAAAAGAACAGCTCTGAATTTTCCTTTTCTTTCACTCAACCAAATAAGGAGCATTTAAACAAGCCACCTACTGATCAGGCAGGACCGGCAGAGAGAGAAAGAGATGGTGAAACGTAATTAATTAGAAAAATGTACATTACTGCCTTTTTCTCATGTTTGGATGAAAGAAGGATATGCGAAACACAGACAGAAGGGATGACGAGCAAAGGCAAGGCTGAGCAAGAGGGAGAGATATTAGAGACTAATGGAAAAGCAACAGTTCTTAGAATCTCAGCGGCTTCAGTTAAAGTCTCCACTGAGAGAAGAAGCGATGTATTTTTAGTGCATTAGCTTAGATGAAGGAGTCCAACCTCTTTTCCACTTGTTCAGACCGAGGGCGACCGCGCAGAGAGGGAACGAGGATGAGGGTGGCTTAATTTAGTCAGGGTGAAGTAAAAAAAAAAAGGAAAAAGAAGAAAAAGTTCATTGTTTGAACCCATTGTGAGTCACGTTCTCCATTTAACAGAGGCATTTTCAAGACCATTTTTGATACAATTACTCACTTTCAGTTCTGATTTCCGGGTTCTCAGAAAAACAGAAAAGAAAAAAAATCAAAATAACATAAAATACAGTTTATTAAAGTAAAAAAACTCAACTACCCACTTATCCAAACAACCATCCATCCATCCATCCATCCATCCATCCATCCATTGTTGGTGCTGACTCTACAGTACATGTGCTTCCATGCTCCTTTTTCTCCCCCTCTTCTCCGTTCCTCCCTCCTCCCCCCCCCCCGTCCTCAGTCTCTCTCTCTCCTTTGCCAGTCAGCTTTATGACGAGTCGATCGATGATGTGTCCTTGACCTCGTTATGAGTCCCACTGCAGGTTTTATTGACCTATGACGTCTCTCCTCTCCCTGAGCCCTCTTTTCCTTTTTCTTCTCGTCTGGCTGTCTGTTTTAAGATGTCAAAGGCACTGAGAACCCCCCCCCCCCCCGAGCCACTTCTTTTCCTAAATCCTGTGTTTTGGCATCTTTTAGTCCTTAAATTCTAAAAATTGATCATGCTGTGCAGTCTGCCCATGTTTAGTCATCTCATCTCTGCTTTTCTCTTCTCACATATTTTTAATATAGCTCAGGAAAACTATTTTTCTTTTTCTTTTTTTTTTTGCTCATACCTGAAGTTTTTGTTTTTCCTTCGACTTTACAAGATTCCAATGCCCTTTGGAATCACTTGCAACTTCTTTGCACTTGAGCACAAAGCAGAATATGTTGCTACAATGTGGCAAAAAAGACAGTAAAAGCAGGATATTAAAATGTGTTACAAACCAGGGCCTAATTGACTATTAATTGATTGTGACAAAGGACATTAATCACACCTGTTAATTGACATGTCCAAAACGTTAACTTTCATTATTGTAGGAAAAAGTTTGGCATATGTTGTTTACACGTAGGAGTCAAATTTCACACTTTTTTTATTGGTTCTCCACGAGTGTGAGACTCTCGAAGCCTCAGGATGTGTCAACACAGCCCGTAAGAGAGCACACGCGTGTGTGTGTGTGCGTGTGCAGCGGCGATGTGGATGTGTGTCTATGAGCTCAGGTTTGGTTGGTGATGAAGGTAATTAGAGTGTAAGCCTCAACACTGTTGGTTCAAAGAGAATTAACGAGCTCTCGTTCATTAACACTCTCCCTCTCTTCTTGTTACATGTGTCTGCACATTCAACACGTGTGTTTGTGTGCTTAGGCACATCATTTGCACATCTAACTCAATGTGTGTGTCTGATCACTGTGCGGGAGTGTGTGTGTTTGTCGAGGTCCTTCCACGCACTGGTCTGGATAATGAATTGAGAGGACGTGGCCTATGCATAAACCAGAGTTACAAACACGGTGGTGGTGGTGGTGGTGAAACAACGTTTCCCCCTTTGGTTCTAGAGCGGCTCCTCATTTATGTTTGAAGCCATCGTGTTGGAAGGCTCTGTGTAATGGCTGGATTTATTATTCATCAGCTTTCCCTTCAGTTCCCTTCTCCACACACAGCAGAAACTTTGCGTACAGCAACAATCAGACGGCAGGTCAGATGCCACACATCTGTTCATCCATTACACTGAGAGTCATGTTGCATGCAGCCAGAGTCAGGATGTCATGCATAATCCATAACTGACCACAGAGCTGCATATAGCCACGGCACATCCTGTTTTATTTACACCAGAGCACTCCTCTGATACATGGACATACTCAAGACGGACTTTAATGGACAAAGTCATGGTAATTCATATTCAGCAACTGAAGAGTGAAGAGTGATTGGAGTTTTATTTGTTTCATTAGAAGATGAAGCTAAATTTAGTGATGATCCATATATTCTTTGGAGTCAAATTAATTTACAAAATAAAACAAGTGTCGTAGATGTTGAAGAAAAAAAATCTTGTTTACTTGCTTTTAGTCACCAGTGTGACAGACTGTGGCAGACAGGAACATACGTGTTTCAACAACTCTGGAGGAGGGAAAATAGTTTTGAATATTTCACAAACGTTCAACAGTTTTTGAGGCCGTTGACCACAGTGGGGCAGCAAAATGATGATTCTGTCTTTTAACTCCCACCTTTCCTCAATTATGCTGCAGACCTGCATTATTTTTCTGCCAAAAACATTGAGCTACTGAACGTAAAAACACGTCTTGTTTTCTCTGCCGTGGTTGTTGTTGTGATGAAACAGGCAGAAGAGGGACAGAATTATCAGCCTAATGTCAATCAAGCTGACACCTGACAACCTATTTGCAATTTCTGCTTCCAGAGAACTGAAATTTTCCTAACGTTGACTGAGAGGTCTAGCTACGCATGTTAATTTAGTTGTCAGCGACTGGCGATTTCCATCTCGCGGACACGTCGTATTTGAAGCCAAGCGTCAATAATTTGAATGAGATTAACAGGGATGTCTGACCCTGGCTGGACGCTGAACATCACAAATAAATGACTGTCTCTAAAGGACAGTGTGGCCTTCTGTTAGCTAGGAATATATCTGCCGTTGAAAGATGAGTGGGTGTTCACAGAGACAGAAGCTGAAGCTTGAACCTGAACTGAAGCTTTGGCTTCTAACTGTACAAGCAGATTATGGTTCTGAATGAAAAATCAATATGAAAACTGTGTCACTTCATCCTGTTTCCTCATAATGTGATATCGTATCCACTGAAAAAAAAAAAAAAAAGAAAACACTAATGAGCTGTCGATACGTTATTACGGCGCTGTACATAATGTGTAAGGTGAGAGAGATTTCAGCCTCAACAACAGCCACAGGAATAAAGCCCGGATCTTATACACACCATGATTGGTCAAAATGACCTTTGCTTTATCTCTGTGCTAATGCAGCCCCCGAATTGACATTCTGTTGGAATGAGTAATGGAATTAAAATGAAACAGTTTGTTTACTACCAGTGAAACATTATTCAAAACGAGTTCATATTGACTACTTTGGAGTTCAAACTATTGACTGCTCTTACAGCAGGAACGCTGTCACTTTGCATGATTAAACCGGCATGTTTGTGGGAAGACAATAACTGAGCCGATCGATTTGTGCCATTGTTTAATTCATAATTCCACAGATAAAGACCTTCTGGTGTCTCGTTTATTTATTATGCACTTTATCAAGTCTTTTCTTTCCCCTTTTCCTTCTAATATTTTGTTCCACCCTGATTGTGTGGTCTGCTCCACTGTAGCTGCTCAGT